TATCCTTGCCATGGACTCTGAGGCCATTATCTGGGATACAGACAAGAAGGGTCGGCCAGACATGGTCAAGCTGGCATATCAAGCCTACAAGGAGAGCGGCGCTGAATGTGTGTGCATCATTTCCAACAGATCGACGACAGCGAAAGTGGTTTATCAGCTGGAGAGTCGCGGTATTCCGGCGTATGGTCCCATTTTGGATTCTTAAAATTTGGTTGGTGAAGGCTTTGGGGCGTTCTTTACGCGTGAGCCAGCCCCAGGTTTTGCTTTCAAGCAAGTTCTTCTTTTGTCTATATAGGTGCAAGTAATGAAAATAATTAAATATTCAGACTCTGAAAGCCTTTGCTAAGAATGTGCTTGTTCCATACTGTGACATTAGATGCTTTACGAGACTACATACTACCGGACAGCCAGGAGGGGAGGACTACAGATACGGATGGATGTCGCGCAGTAATAAAACAAATTAAAATACTGCGAAATATAAAACTTTCAATACTTAGTCCTACGTATCCCAGAGGTCGTTGAGAACCGGCTTATTGTTCTTCACTCGCATCTTGGAGCACCATTCATTATCGTGCTCTAGAACAAACAGCCATTCCGCACCGACCTCCCCAAAGACGGGCTGCACCACATGCTCTACCGGCCGATAAGAGCTCCCAAAACAGACAAAACATATCAGCAGGTTCAGTGGCCCGATCTCGATTCTCCCTGCATTTTCTTGACCGTCCGAGGGTATCGGGCCCGTCACCGCCGGCCGAACAGATCGGCGACCAATGTCTCACAGCGGCCCCACCGACTTTACCGTCTCCCTCGACGGCTGTCGGCCTCACCCATGATATCTATAAATCCTTCCCAACGGCCCACAAAATAAACATGATTTTCCTCAAAAATAACCTTACTTCTCTTCTGGGGCAATCATGAAGAAGACGATCGATTACTACGAAGTTGAACCGACAGTGAAGGAAGCGCTGGCGGAGTGCGTTCCAAACCAACATGATTCACTTCGCTTCGCCAAGTCTTTGTTTCCTTGCTTGAATTGGCTACCGAGATATAACTGGCGGTGGCTGTTGGGTGACAGCATTGCTGGCTTGACCGTTGGACTGGTTGTTATTCCTCAAGCCATGGCGTACGCCCTTCTCGCCACGCTACCGCCAGACTTTGGGTTGTATACCTCCTTTGCTGGTGCGGCAACGTACTGGTTATTCGGAACATCAAAAGACATTGTCATTGGAGTACGTCAATCACCCATCGTCTTCGCGTCTTGGCTAACATCGAGGCTGTAGACCACCGCCGTCGGTTCCCTTCTCGTCGGAGAGGTCATCTCCCATGTCCACGAATCACGGCCAGATACCTACACAAGCGCCGAGATCGCGGGAACATTGTCATTCATGACTGGTATAATTCTATTTGCACTGGGTCTGTTTCGTCTTGGATGGCTCGTCGAAGTTATTCCCTACATCCCAGTATCAGCCTTCATCACAGCAGCCAGCATCTCCATCATGTGCACCCAGCTTCCTGTACTGTTGGGTATTCATGGTGTCAACACACGTGAAGAGCCTTACAAAGTGTTCATATCGACTATGAAGAATCTGGGCGGCACCAAGTTGGACGCTGCTATCGGTATCACCTGTCTTGTTCTGCTCGAGCTGGCGAAGTTTGTCTTTGCCAAGTTGGAGGCTCGTCAGCCTGCGCGGAAAAAGATGTGGTCAATCATGTCATCCCTGCGCCTCACTTTCGCCATGCTACTATATACCCTAGTGAGCTTCCTGGTCAATCGTAACTTGAAGGAAGACGAGAGCAAGTTCCGAATCGTGGGACATATCAACCAAGGTACGTCAATCTCGCAACATTACTTCCATCAACCGCTAACCCATCACAGGCTTTGTCCACGCTGGTCTTCCAGATTTAAAGCCCGATCTCATTGGCGTTGTTCTCCCTCAGAGCCCCATCATCATTATCATCCTCATCGTCGAGCATATCGCCATTGCCAAAAGCTTTGGTAAGAAGCACGGATACGAGGTTGCCCCATCGCAAGAGATCATGGCTCAGGGTACAGCAAATATCATCGGGCCATTTCTGGGTGGTTATTCATGCACGGGCTCATTTGGCGCCTCGGCTGTTTTGTCAAAGGCTGGTGTTAAGACTCCCATGGCTGGTCTTTTCAGCGCCTTCATGCTACTTCTTGCTCTTTACGCTCTTACGGGAGTGTTTTACTTCATCCCACGAGCTGCTTTGGCTGGTCTGATCATCCATGCTGTTTCGAACCTCGTTGCTTCTCCGTCTACAGTGATGAAGTATTGGCGACTGTCACCTTTCGAGTTCTTTATCTGGATGGCTGGTGTTATTATCGCATTGTTCACCGGACTTGAGACGGGCATCTATGTTACCACTGGCCTCTCATTCCTACTTCTACTTGTTCGCATTGCTCGCACCAGCGGAGAGTTCCTGGGGCGGGTCACTGTCCAGCAGATTGATCCAAGCGATGATGAGCAACGATTGTCTGCAACTGCGCGTGAGAAGGCACTATCGCGTGACATTTACTTGAGTCTTTCTCGAAAAGACGCTTCAAATAAGGACATCCCAGTCGAAAGCCCTCACCCAGGCATCTTGATATACCATTTCCCCGAGGGTCTCAATTATCTCAACCAAGCAATGCACTTCAAAACGTTGACAGACTACGTATACATATATACAAAACGGGCGACCGAAGAGCCGGAGTGCGACAAGTCGGAGGCTCTTTGGTGCGACAAACCCGTTGTGTACAAAGGAGACACAGAGCGTCCTGTGTTACGAGCGATCGTGATCGACTGTTCAACAATTCATAATATTGACATCACCAGTGTCCAAGGACTGGTCGATGTGAGAAATGCGCTAGATCGATGGGCAAGCCCATATTCAATTCAATGGCATTTTGGTGGGCTGCGAAATCGATGGGCGAGGCGAGCTTTGACAGCTGTTGGCTTTGGCCAGAATGCAACAGAAAATGGTCATATAATTGGAAGCTGGACTTCAATTCTGCCATTGGCCAGATCATTTGACGAAGAGCATGAAAATAGAAGACGGCAGAGCAGCACAGACGACGAAAGCATAATCGGCACACAAACAAGCACAGAAAGCGAATCGTCATCGCCTGTTGCACCTGCAGAAAAACAAGGTCTCAGACCAGTTTTCCCGACCGACAGGCCCTTCTTCCATGCCGATCTTGATGAAGCGGTGACGGCGGCGTTGGCCAATGCAAAGAGGAGCGAGTGCCGTTTTGTTACCGACACGGAAACAGAAAATGACTGATTGTTTCCGACTTCCGGGCGCCGAAGCCATAGCCCCACTCCGCCCGTCTTCCCCGAGCCGCTCCGGAGAAATCAGTGGATATCGGCGTCTTCAAAACTCTAATTTTCATCGGGGACTAGATTAATGATCAGATGGTTTACTAGCGAGTTTAAACTGCACTAGAGCGGAAATGAAGCGTGATTTTAGACAGCGATAGAGCGAGTTAATAGAGCAAAGATTTTCAGCCTCTGCCGTGTGTCTTGAACTTTATCAATACAGAGTAAACAACATCAAAGCGTTTTATAGATCTTTTTTTTTACAATCATGGCAACAAGCTTGCTAACAGGTGCCATCTTCGGCACAGGCCTCACTCTCTCAGGCGTAGCAAACCCGCAGGTCATAAAGAATCAATTCCGCCTCTCCGACTTCCACATGCTCGCCACGTTCCTCACCGCATCCGCGACCAGCGCCGCAATCTTCACCCTCTACAACTCCAAGACCACCAAGATCCCAGCCCGCTCAGCAAGTTCGCACGGATGGCTGGGCCCGTACGACGGTAACATAATTGGTGGTGCCATGCTAGGCCTGGGAATAAGCTTAACGGGTGCTTGTCCCGGGACGGTCCTCGTGCAGGCCACAGCGGGTATTGGCGCCAGTCGGCTGCTCGCATGCACGTCGCTCCTTGCGGGCGTTGTTTGGGTGCGGTGTAAGCCGTACATCGTCGGACCGCCGACGAGCCGTGTCCAGAATACATCGGTCATGGATGTTACCGGGTTGTCTGCAGGCAAGGTTCTCGTCGGGTACGAGATAACGATGCTTGCGATACTTGCCGGTATCTTATACATTGCCCCGAGAAGTGTTACCATGCTGCATCCGGTTGTCGGTGGCTTCCTCATTGGCTTCGGGCAGTTATCGTCTGTCATCTTGACCGAGAAGCCTGTTGGAGTCAGCGGTGCCTATGAGGAGTTTGGAAAGTTCTTCTGGGATATTTTCGGGGGCAAGGGTGTTAAATCACTCCATCAGAACATTCTCTTTGCATTTGGATTAATGATGGGTTCTTGGGCGACGTTATCCAACTTTCCGGCCATCCGGGAGGTCATGGCACAAAGTGAACAGGCATCACTGCCGATGGTTCTGGCTGGCGGAGCTTTCCTGACTTTCGGCGCTCGCATTGCTGGTGGATGCACAAGTGGTCATGGTATCAGTGGTATGGCCACGATGGGGTTGAGTTCTTTTATCACTATCGTTTCGATGTTTGGTGCTGGTTTGGTGGCTGGACTCTGGCTTGCTTAGACATTGCGGTTGAAAGGAGAGCTACTGATTGCTTAATGTACTTTGGAGTTTTCCATTTAGAATAAAATTAGAAGAGCCTTAGACATTATACCTTACATTAATCTTGATCCAATGCATCCCAAGAACTTGGCATAATTAGAACAGTCAGATCCCGAGGTTTTCAGAGGTAGTCGCCGAAAAGCTGCGTTCTGGGGATCCTTTCACAAACATAACGTCCAGTGGACGGTGGCCTATATGATTGTTTCATGTAAAGTCCTATCCCGCACTTTCAGATATAGAGTGGAAAGGAAAATTGAAGATATTGAAAGAGATTTGCGATTTGTTTCGTCTGGCTAAACTATCATTCTTAATACCGTTACTTCTGCATCAAAGCGACAAGATCGTCTCCAAGCTATTATATAATATGCATCCCTTGGACAAATCATTGCGTCGGAAAGTCTTCTCTACCACGACGAGCCCGTCACTGGTAAATGAATCGTTTTAAGTCCTGCCGGGTTCGGTGCCGGCAGTCGTCCACCTCTAATGTTGACCTGCAACGAAGGATGGATCAATCGAGGTGCAGCAAGAGACTCATCACGTTTCTTTCGCATCTCAATAAACTCGTGCTCACGGGTTCCATCCTTTAGATGCTTGTTAGTCTCTCTGTGCTCCTTCACCGTAGCAAAAGGAACCGGGGCTTCTCGCTCAGCCGGTGGATAATCATGTCCGACCCAGATCTTTGTATCTTCTGGTAGTGCAAGGAGCTTGCGGCCGGAGTTGAAGATGGCTTCAGCACTGCCACCGGGGAAGTCTGCGCGGGCGGAGCCGATGTCAACGTGAAAGATGGAATCTCCAACAAACACGTTTTCTAGGTAGCAAGTCAGTGATTTATTTACAGTTGTGTTAGGTCAAAGTAGACTTACTGCCAATATGGTATCCCATGTGATCTGGCGTATGACCAGGGAGATGGACAGCACGGGCAGTCAAAGTGCCAATGGTGAACTCATCGTTATCTTCCCATAGCTTATCAAAAACAGTATCATACTCTTTGGGATCGATACCATATCGTTCTCCGAACAAGCTCTGAACCTGGCGAATAAGCTTTCCAATGCCGATAAGTGGCTTGGAACCTTGACTTCTGGCAAGGGCTGACTGGAGATATGATGCAGCAGTCAAATGATCTGCATGAGCATGCGTCTCTAGTATCATCTCAATTTTCAAGCCATTGTCTTTTACAGTCTTGAGAATGGCATCAGCCGATCCGGTCGACACTGCTGCTTTAACAGGATCATAGTCCAGGACTGGGTCGATGATGACTGCGCTCTTGGTGTTCGGGTCCGAGACAACGTACTGCCAGGTGCCAGTGACAGGCTCGAATAGGGAGTGGACTGTTGGCTCTGCCATTATGCTCGTAGTGGTCGCAAATCTGGCGCGGCCGATGATGTGATTTTGGGTTGGATGTCGTGAGTGTATAAGACAGGGTTGTCTCGATGCTAGACTCTTTTGGCAACTGGTTCGGCTTCTTCTTTGAATGGCGTTACCCGCGGGCGTGCAATAAGTGCGTCTTCTCGACGATTGTGACACAGGTAGCGATGTGAAAGCTTTTGTTGGTACGTGTTCAAGAACAACTGCACTTCTGCGAATAGTGGATGTAAACGATGCCATTGTCGTAGATGTTATACAGGGAACAATTATACAAAAGCTATGGTAGTATTGCGAGCGACTTGCTGAGAAATGCTACTAATCTAGTGCCCGACGCGAATGATCTGGAAACTTTGATCTGATATAATTATCCCATCCCGGGGACTTGTTTGGCTTCCGCTTTTGATCCCCGAAAGGTGGATCCCAACCCGCCCGACTCGGCGATTGAGCTGAGACGTGTATTGACTATTGAGCATATTGTCGCGGCAAATTTATAGCGATAGCCTGTGACGGGACTTTGTTCATTTCTGATATCGTATGATTGAATTTGATGGAAGTCATGAGAGACCAGTCAGTCATGACAATGTTTTCAATTAATGTTGTCACTTCGTCGAGCGATCGGCGGTCGGTGGTCGGCCCCACTCGAAGCAGCCACAAGCGTAGGGTAATCAGAGGATGAGGACGGCAGTAAAAACTCAGGGCATATTAACAACTTGGGTCGAGGCAGATGATAAAATCTGGCTCATGATAGGTAGTCCATGAGAGTCCATTTAGTTTGAAAAGATAAAAGGAAGTTGCGGGTGCTGACTGATTATAGTTTTGTAAAGGAGGCAAATGGCGATGAAACAAGCTGATGTATAAAATGTCAGGATTATCGTAACGTATCTAACGCAGATTGTCACCTTTTTCCACTGCATTATGCTCAACTTAAAATTTAATGATCAAGGTGCTGATCTTAGTTATGGGCAGTTCGTAAAAACTTCTCTGTCATTTTAAGTGATCGTGACCAGTTTGGGGATTGCAAAATATGTAAACGAGCATCGCATACTAGGTAATGATACAGAATACTCTTTGTGCTGGCAAATTATGGAGCCATTCAAAGTACCCCTTAGCACATACTAACAGCTCGCTTGACCCAGAAGCGATGTCCTTATCGATTAGTCTTTGTATCTTATCTTATCATCCCTCGATAAGAATGACGGCATATAAGGTTTACGATTAAATTGAGTATCATAAGTTACTTCAGAAACAATCAGTGGTATCGTTAAATTTTTTTCGCTCCAAGTAACTAGCTTATGCCAAAGGCCGATACTCGGTCGTGCCCTGGGGGTGTCTATCGCCGACAAAAATTGGTTCAGAAACGTTATTCGTGCCGATCTGATTATATCGGTGTTGTCGACAGCTGACAATGCCGTGGAAGATAAGGCAAATGCATGAGAAAAGACTAAATGGTTAGCATGATGGACATACTCGCAGACCTCCCTGTGAACTTACAATGCCAATCCACCAAGACCGACGCAAGTCGCAAAGACGTATCCGTAAAAGCTCGTCACGTTCTTGAGGCTGTCGGGGCACTTGTTGTTTTCGCAGTAATCGGTGCCGTGGGCCCATAACACCGCAGTTTGTGCCGCCAGAACAGCAAATGATACAAGCCAGAATAATGTGAGAATGATGTCAAGAATCGCGGCGACCAAGTAATTAAAGAGGCGGTTGGAGAACATATGAGCAAAGGCCATCCATGTTGAGACCAGAAGTGATGCAGAGCTCTGTAAGCAATGTCAGCAAGTTGTTTCTATTGACGATCGCACATCTTTTTACTTACGGTTACCATCAACAAGCAGTTCCCCGAAATAACAACGGCATTTATCGTGAAAGACGTGACGACAATGGTGATGATATTCAGTACAGCTTGGAAGATGCGCAGGACCGTGAATCCGGTGGGGTATTGCGAAAGGTCATGGCGACGGGAAGCCATTTCGGTTGGTATCTGATATTCCCAAATTATTCTTGAAGTGTTATTTCAGACTGGCAATGACAATTGATCGAGGAAAAGTATTTCTATCGGAATTGCGGAAGTAGACATGTCCATAATAAAGGAGTTTTCCCGAGGCTGGGATATATAAATATCGTTCCGCTTGTTTAAGACCAAGCCTCAGTCAGTGGCTCAAGTGTATGAATCCTGTCAGATTTCATCCTAGATTGAGATGGTTTCTCCGAGCGTCAGCCTCAGGGTCGTGGAGTCAGGATGACAGAAGCGATGCTGACCCATCTCGGGGTGGAGCATGTAAGATTGGTTTGCAAGACATCAATGTCAAGAAAAAATAGGAAGAACTCAGTACGAGGAATGTGAACGTTCTCCAAAATATAAAGTGAGAGAATGAAGAACGGTTAAGATTTTTTCGAGGTTGTCTGTCGCCTTCTGACGATCTGTGATATTGATGAGCCCGCGACACCGCTTGTAAGAATAGGAGCCTCATCCCTGCCTTACTCCATGGCGCAGCACTGAGCCAGTCGCAAGATTAATTAGCCCGCCTAGACGAGATTTTCTCCGAGAGATAAGTTCCACTATCTAAGATGTCAGCATTATAAGGCTGTTTTGTCTCAAAGTGATGTCACTGCCACATTCTTTTCTGGGCTGTTGTGGATTGCCCAGACATGACCGAGCATCCTCGATTGTAAGGAAACAAATCACTGACCATCAACGACCTACAATCGAGAGTCAGCTTGTCTGGAGCTTATGGACATCTGTACATAAACGGGAAGCAAGTTGATCTTACACCAGCAACCTCGACGAGAGCCAAGAGGCTGCTGATCGAAGCTACACAATTTTGCAGAACCTTACGGACTGAAAGAGCCAGTGGCTCAGGCTCGTATTCACAGATGTCCATCGCGATTCACTTAGCCATTGCAAAGAAGAGTTCTGAATGGTAGCCGTTTAGTTACTATCTTTTGATCATTGTAAATGACATGCGTTCGCAACAGTATCCAGGACAATAGATGTTTTTATTGTCAAATAAATATGAGTTACAGCCTATCGCCTATTGAACAATGGCAGGGTGGTCCATGTAGCATGCAGCACACTGCTCCGTCTTCCAGACATAAATCAAGTTCTTGCAGCCGGGGCATTCTGCGCATTGGCATATCTCGCTGTGAGGGCACTGGTTGGGCTGGTTACCATCGTTGGCGGGGATTGGAGAGGGCATTTCAGCAGCAGCGCCATCGGAGGGAGACGCTGGGATCGAAGAGGTGATTGTGGAGCCCGTTGAAGGATGCATATTGAGTCTGGTCGAAAAATGGCTATTGGTTCTATGTTGATAGGCTTGAGAAGTTTGGTGTCTTGGGTAGAGTCGAAGGAGAGATTGCGGTAATGGAAGTATGGGATTTCTTTGTGTTGTCTAAATGGTGCCTCGCTTTATACATAAAAGAGAAAGGACATTCACGGCGGGCAATAAAATAGCATGTCACGATGTTGTGAGGAATTCGGTTTGAGTGGTTCAGGTACATTTCGCTAGCAAAGTTGCGATGCTGGGCAAAAGTTACCGGCATCTGTGTATGTGCCCTGTACAATGTCGACGAAATCATTGTATACTTCAACGGTTAAAACGGGTCATTTTAAACAGGATAGCGTTATAAATAGTTTAATTATTTTCTTCCTGAAAGCCCTGAATAAGATTTCAAGAGTGTCGGAGCACCAAGAGTCAAAAAGGAGACTGCATACGTCAAGCGAAGGACGTCGTGTGCGAAGCGCGAAGAGAACCTCAGATATCATGTGTGTAGTATTGAACTAAATATCCGTGATAAAGATGATTCGATTATCGGTAAAGCTTTTGCCAGAATTCATTGCGTCAGTCACCCTGGTTTGGAATTGTGCGTCTGATTAAGCAGCTCAAAGAGCCACTGTTCAATGCTCAGGCCTTGTTGTTCACAGCGTAAACAAAGGGATGAGATAGATATTTGGAAACAAAGCACGGTCGAGTATTGACATCAGTTGAGAGTATGGACATAAAACAGAAGGCCTCTTATTGTGCGCAGAAGACAATGAGTTTGGCTAACATCAGTCACTGTGTCGGTAACGTATTGGCTAAGGATTGCCGTGAACAAGTGATTCACAGGACCTTGGAAAGAACAGTGTTCTATGTTTGAACATAAGTGTTTGGGCGTTTTCCAGAGTCTATAAATGCCATGCATCTGCCCGATCAATATGGAAAATATCATCACTTGCATCAATACAACTTCCACTACCAATTCACAACAAAGCATCAACAGCATCACAGCTACCATCATCTTCTCTCTCACACACAGCAATCACCACAAAATCACCTTTAACATGTATCCCTCCGTCGTTTTCACCGCTGAGGCTTCAGCTCCCTCTTCACCCACCGAGACTACTCACAATTACTTCCCTTCCCTCATCCCAGCTGAGTTTGGTCCCCAGCCCATTCAGTGCCCCCACAGCACTCGATGCGAGTGTACCGGCTGCAGCGGCTGCAAGAACGAGATTTCTAACTGGAGCACCATGCAGTGCTCTAACTGCAACATAAACTGCCCTGCCTAAGTGGCCCTTTCTGACATGCATAGGGTTTTCGCCTACGGCTTTTGTTTCTCCCTTTCAGCGACACTTAAGCTACGCGCGAATTCATAGTGGACTTGAGATACTTCATTTACTTGTTCTTCTTAGATGCCAACGTGTTTTAGATTGGTGTATCTATTTTGTATGCTTTGCGATGGAGAGGTTCAGGTGGAGTAGAACAGACTGTAGATCGCTAGCTGACCAGTATAGAAAATGATAAATTACAAAAAGAGCATCTTAACAGGTTCCCTGAATCCATTTATTTTTAATGATTTACGTGATGCAATAAAAGGTGCTGTGCAATAAGAAGTCCCAATGTGCCATGTTTGCGGCTTGAGGTCTATATAGCAGGATATAGAATGATAACATCTTGTTTCAACACCAATATGTGCTTCGCAGCTGTGATACGAATTACAAGCCCCATAAACCCTTTTTTCCCGTACATTCTTTCATATTCAGTTATCAGTACGCTTACTTGAGTTAGTACAGAGGCTCTTGGGCTCCTATGGTTACCCGGCTGCATATTTGCAGGGAAAACTTAGCAACATCCTTTTCATCTGCTGGAGAAGTTTCTCACACGTAGGGCAAGCCAAATCCTCAATGTTCATATTCTATAATATCGAGATGTTGGTCAAAGCTCATTCATATCTTATGTAGTCTAGAACGTGGGGTGGACATCATTCTTTAGAAAGTTCCTGCTGCTGACCTCAACTTCCTTTTCCCTTTTCCGAACAAAGTGTTTGAGAGAAGGCTTGAATGAAAAATGGAAGCTTGGTCTACGGTCTACGGCCTTGACATCACATAGTCGCATACAAGTCAAAGGAGCTAACGGATATGTTTTGTAAGTGCTTCTTTGATTCTCCCTGACCTACCCAGCTACCTGCCAGGCCTCTGATCCGCTTCACCTTGAACTCTGCATTGAAAAGCGCACCAAACAATAATAGCAACGCAAAGCTTTACTTCAAAAATGAAAGCATCAAAACTTGTATTGGCGAATATTGCCTACGCGCGTTGTGGGTAACTGGCGTTAGCAAGAATGCAAAAGAGATAGAATAAGCAACCTCATCTCAAGCCCCGGAAAGTATCTAAACGGGACAGTTGCAATAGCAATCGTAACACTGGAGGCTGGATATGCAATATATCTTTCCAGTACAGCCATCACAACCCTGGCACCGGCAGCGAATACCTTTTCCACACTCATGGACATGAGGGCCTTGGCCAAGAGAGTTAGGATAGTCCCCCGGCTTGGCTGCAGAGGGCGACTCAGGAACTGAGGGAAGAGCGGGAAATCGAGGAGATGGGTTCATGGTGGCGAGCGAGATGAAGAACACCTGGGTTAAGCTGATGTGATGTTGCCCGGAAATGCGTTGGTAGCTCTTAATGTGACCGGAGGCTGGATACTTTGCCCATAAACTGGTGAACTGAGAGAGCACTTGGGATGATAGCATTACCGATGGGATTGATGACGCTGCCAAGAAGGGGGCGAAGCCAAGGGGGTTTTATACCTGGGAACAATACGTGAAGAGGCTGAGCTTGTTTGTTCAGAATATTCACCTTGAATTTATTGCAGAAATTTCGTCCGTGACGGCTCCATCGTTGACCTATGAACTGGAACAAAAGTCCTTTGTTTGATTCACCTCTGGCACTGGCGAAGTGATACGCGCCTGAATAAAGAACAATGGGTTGTAAACAATCGCGTGGGCCAGCCTCTCTTTTGTTCTTTCACTGAAAGTTCTCCTACATGCATCTGCTACTAAGATGCGTTTTCGTCCGGAAGTATTGACTGTGCATCTTACCTCTCGCTTCCTTATTGACATAGATTGCACAGCGGATGGTGAAACCTGCTGACAGTGACACTGGAAGATCTCGGAGAAATCGTGTTCCATACGCATTTTGAGGCACACAACCCAGTTCATAAGTACCAAAAAGTTGACATCTATACATTATTGAGATTAAGCATACGTGTGCATTGATATGGAAAGAAACTCTGGTGTAACAAGGCGACTGAACTATCGATATGGCTATTGGAAGTAGTTCGTCTGCTCTCGGCTTCTGGCCAATGACATTTCCTCTAAAGTCATCTTGGACACACTAAAAATGTGATAGCAGTTCAGCTGCACTTGTACCACCAATCGGATTCAGCGCTATAAGACCCCTGGAACCTCCTTAGACACAAACGGCAGTGATTTATCGAAGGTCAGCGAGCCACGTTTCCGCCACAAGGGATAGTTCCTGGGTCCAGAACGGCTTTTAATTCATGGGGACGGGCCGAGCCACTGAGATATCGCTAATTAATACTGCTATGGGGAGTGATATCAAAAGCTGGCGGAGATGTTCAGCTCCGCCGTCGCCAGCCTGGTCTTAGCTTGTCACAGCGGCTGGGGTCTAGGCTGGGGTCTAGGCAGGTCTCTATCAAAGCCATCACTGTAGGGGTTGCGCACTTAAGAGCCATCTTTTCGCACAATCGACCGTCTTCTTTCGCTGATTAGCTGTCTCTCTATTTTCTTCTTGTTCCAACCAGAAATATGGCCTTCCGACTTTTGGCGGGCATCACTGGGCGCCAGATATTGGCTGGCGGCGCTGCGCTTGGAGGAACAGGCCTTGCTGGATCACTGATTCAGACAGAAAGTGAAAAGCTGCAGGCTACAGAGGCACAAGTACAGTTCCATACCTCCTCCATCCATCCAACTCCTGTTGGCTATAGCCCGTGGCAAATCCGCAATGACTATCCAACCTCGGACATTCTCAAGGCGAACCTCAAGGCACAGAAAGAATCGAAGGATGGTTCACTCCCCCACGCTCCCTCCCCATTGATCCCTGCCCCCGGATTGCCTGGTGACTTTGAGGGCAAGAATGCGCCGTGGTTCAAGTTCGACTACGAAAAGGAACCTGAAAAGTTTGCTGAGGCCATCAGAGAGTATTGTTTTGATGGCAATGTCGAGAAAGGGTTTCGACTCAATGAGAACACAGTCCGAGACTGGTACCACGCACCTTGGATGCATTATCGGGACCCAGACCCAAAATCGTCGTGTACCGAGCGTGAACCCATCAATGGCTTCACATTCGAGAGAGCGACACCTCCCGGGGAGTTTGCTAAGACACAAAATGTGGCCCTACAGAATTGGGCAGTTGGATTTTACAATGCTACTGGTATATCTAATCATACTGTACCCAGTCTTGATCTAACATTTTTCCAGGTGCCACTGTTTTTGGCGATATGTGGAAGGACCCGGATAACCCTGACTTCTCTCAGAACAAAGAGTTTCCCGTAGGAACATGTGTTTTCAAGGTAGGACAACACTCCGAAAAGGCGGAACATCATGACTGACATTGGAAAGATCTTATTGAACAATTCGACACCTGAGCAGATGCCCATTCAAGATGGAGCCCCAACGATGGATGCAGTGAGTTGTGTTGACCATGACACTAGGACTGTAATCTCTAATAAGAATCACAGGTCATTTCCAAGTCAACCAACAGCGGCAGAGATCGGAATGACTTCGCATCGCCACTTCGTCTAATTCAGGTCGACTTTGCTGTCGTCGATAAGCGCTCACCAATTGGATGGGTCTTTGGCACCTTCATGTATAACAAAGACCATCCTGGAAAAGGCGTGAGTACACCCCCAATAACCAAGGGAAATTTGCTTATGCTAACCTCGTTATGAATTCTCAGCCCTGGGATAGACTCACTCTTGTCGGTCTTCAGTGGGGCAATGATCATTGGTTGACGAACAAGGTCTATGAGGAGACCAAGGCTGAGGGGCACGTGGCTAAGCCGCGAGAGTGCTATATCAACCCGGAGGCAGAGAAGATTCGAAAGCGAGAGGGTGGCACACGGCCCTCATGGGGATGGAATGGCCGTATGAATGGCCCAGCCGACAACTTCATCTCGGCATGTGCCTCTTGTCACTCAACCTCAACCTCCCATCCCATGTACAATGGCAAGGTCAAGGACGGCGTGAAGCAAGTCTACGGCATGGTACCACCACTAACTATGGCGCCTTCTCCTCAGCCAAAGCCAGGCAACACCTTCAGCGATGTGATGATCTACTTCCGAAACGTCATGGGAGGTGTACCATTCGACGAGGGCGTCAACCCCAAGAATCCGGATGAGTATGATCCTACCTATAAGAGCAAGGTCAAGAGCGCCGACTACTCTCTGCAGTTGCAGGTCGGTTGGGCCAACTACAAGAAGTGGAAGGAGGATCACGAGACTTTGGTGCAGAGCGTCTTCCGTAAGACAAGATATGTTATTGGTTCCGAGCTGGCTGGTGCTTCAGATCTGTCGCAAAGAGACCAAGGTCGACAAGAGCCAACAGACGATGGTCCAGTTGAGTGAGCATTTCGATGGAACAAAGAGGATTGACAGTGTTGAATATACACGAATTGAATATAATATGTAGTGCAATATGCCATAATAGCAACTGGGTGCCTGGGAGACTTGTGGACGCCATCTTGACCAAAATTCTCATGCGATGATAGTTTGGAGATAACCCTCATTTTCTTGTTTATTAGTACATTAGTCTTTGGTTATGTTATGGGCGATAGGGCGAAGGATGCAACTCGATATTCGACTCCATGCAACTTGGCAGTGGCAGTGGCAGTGAACTTGCTGCTTATGCACTTCCATAGCGGCAATGCCTGCATCACTCGTAACCCCGTTGTCACCCATTTGGGAAGCGGGATAGCTAACAGAATCCCGAGAACACCACTATCTTGACGCATTCCATAATGCATAGTGGAAGTCCTAAATATGAACTCTCGTCCCTAAGAGACTAAAGGCCTTCGCTTGATGTGATTGTCATCTTGAGGAGAGTTTTGATGAGGTTATTTGGTCATCCTGTTCCAAGATCTGGGCTCTAGAGAGCAAGGAAACATCAGAACCTAATTTAAGGCATTAAAAAAGACTAAATAAAAGATATCCTAAATTGATACTAAATTATTTAAGTCTTTCCATGATTTAGGACCAAGGTCCTAAGTTTTCTTTCCTCCCCTAGCCGGGGACCTTTCACTCCTTGGGGACTACTGCAACACCGAAAAGGCACTGCTACCTAGGATCCCGGAGCTCTAGGATGTGTCAATGCGATTAACATGCCGTCTGACCGCATAAAGGAGGTCTAGCGCTTACTCGATAAGGCACGAAGTGTTACCGGCTGATTAAGCGTATTGTCCAAGACAGGAAGGTCACAGGTCAGCTTCAGAATGGTGGCTTACTCCATCGCCATCTCTTTCGACCATTGGTGTGAGAATTGTATTGGTATTTAAAGTCTGCAGCCAGCTCAAAACTCAGAAAATAGCCCAGGGTTCTTGTTGCTGAATTCTTCACCGATCTCACTCTGGCCTTTTTCTTATCATGTCAACCAGTATTCACGAAGAGACTCACGCAGACCTTGCTACAGGATCACTTCAGGAATTCTTCAAGCAGAATCCCTCAGTGAAGATCATTATATTGCAATGGGTTGATATTTGTGGAATTTCGAGAACAAGATTACTCCCTGCTTCACGATTCAAGAACCTTTTGAGATCTGGTAGTCACCTTGACTGCGCCCCGTTGGATACCCTGGTACCTACAACCGCTGAGTTTATCCCTCAACTATTCGCTCTTTTCAACGGGAAGGGCAAGATATACCCTGATATTTCCTCGATCCGAACTATGAGGCATGATGCATCCGGAATCGGCAACACAGCTCATTGCGTTGCTACTGTGGATTTTCAGAATACTGATGCACGACTCCTCTTGAAAACCATCGTTCAAAAAGCTGAAGAGTCTCGTGGCTTGAAGTTCCTTGTTGGAATTGAGTTGGAGTTCTGCTTTCTCGTTCCAGGAACCCTCGAGGCCGCTGAGCCTGCAAAGCCCGGAGTTGCTGGTACTTTCGGCACTCTCCGCTCCAAAGTCTGGCCTATACTCAACGAGATTATTGTTGCTTTTAGTGAAGCGGGGATTGAAGTTGAGCAAGTGATAAAAGAGTATGGCACATCGGCCTATGAAGTGGCTCTCCCTCCTCTTTCTGCTATCGAAGCCGTGGACACCTATTACTATGCCAAAGAGTTAATCCAGAATGTGGCACATAAGTATGGAATTCTTGCCACTTTTTATCCGACACCATACGACGGAGAACAAGGCCAGAAGAGCGGACAGCACATTCACATCTCGGCAGTCCCTACGGAAGAAAACAAAGACTGGAACCCTGATGACACCCTGGCAGGTATATTGAGCCATATACCTGCACTGATGGCATTGGGCATGTGCCAGGTTGACTCTTATGAGAGAGTCAATATCGGGAGAATGTGTACCGGCGGTCTTGTGGGTTGGGGTGATAATAATCGAGACATGCCTGTTAGAAGAGTCACCAAAAACCACTGGGAGATCCGTGTCAATGACGCCACCTCGAATTCATATGCCATGGTCGCCGGAATCATTGGTGCTGCACTCGAATCCAAGCCGCTTACAATTAGAAACGCGACAGGTATGTCTACCGAAGCCGAGATAGCCGATATTTGCTAATCCGCTTAGAATTCACACTGACGTATTCCGAAGAAGAAAGACAGAAAATGGAACTGACCAAGCTTCTACCGACGTCTCTTGAGGTTGCACTAAAGGAGCTGGAAGATGACAGAGCTTGGGCAGATAGTGTTCTCGGTCAAGGGTATATCGATTGGTTCCTTGCAATCAAGCGGGCAGAGATGAATACAGTTTCGAAGATGGAGACTAAGGAGCGAAGATTGCATATGCTTAGCTTCTTCTGATATGGCACTACAGCGAAGACAACGCTCCTGTCGATTTGAAGATATAGAAAAATGCGGGGTTCTTGTATTCCTGAATAAGACACGACAGTTCAAGTAGTCCGGCAATCATAATTTCTCTGAAATGTTGCTTAACGACTCGTTACCTTTGGGACGCCCTATATATATCCCCTATCCCGAATTTATATGGGGTTTCAGGCATTTTCAAGATCACCATTTGCTTCAGTACAGAAATCTTCCCAGTCCGTCTTCGGGGTATTAACACTACAGAGCTGATCAGCCGACCAGCATCCTACATGACATAACCCGAAAAGCTCCCTTCGTATAAGCAAGGCTTCTAGCCAGAGAGTTACCCAGGCGAGCGGCGGTAGGTGTTGCCCATCTCCCCGGAATGGTATTGGCTCTTGGCTGCCTTGCGCTAGGTCGCCATTGGTAGGAAAACACGCCCATATGCTGGACGTATACATCTGTTGCTTCGAATAACCAGTCTCCGCCTGGTGCAGTGATATGCTGCGGCACTAAATCGACCAGGGCAGGTGCATTCAAACAATGGCACCTTGAACCCTGATCCAGAATGTCTCATATCTAAACAAAATATTATCGAGTTTTAGAATACGATAGCATTACCAGCAGAATACTATTGGTAACCTTCAAATCAATTCCCAAATACCCTACTATGACTTCCCATGAGTTCTCCTATCCGCATTCGCACTGCTCTCCAAGCCACTGCGAAAGGCTCCGCCGCCAGGAATATGGCATTATTCCTGACGGAGACTGACCGACAAACTGCCGGGATTAAAAGTGACATTGGCCTCGGGGAGCCAGAAAGACATTAGTGCTGAGATACAGGAAAATAAAGTAAGTAAAAGGTATCCTAATTTAAGCTAAACTTATATGAAGTTACCTAAATCTTTTTGTCATTTAGGATCAAGGTTCCCAGTTCTTTTACCTCCCCTAGATTGGCCATATTTAGATACTATCTAGCCGATCTAAGTTCTCTAGACGGAGATAAGATAAATCCGTGCCCCCAACCTCAGGCCATAAGTTGGTTGCCCACGTCTCGTCTGACATGCAGCAGCAGGGCTAACGAGCCAGATTGAGCAACTCCGGGATTAATAGCAAAATCCGGGATCGTGGGTCTATAACAACGTTCACTTCACCACATAAGGACTTGAAGAAACATAATCACGAAGATAGTGTTCGTTATCATTCCCTACAACCCAAGTAAACCTACTGGCGCTTCCTCCAACAGCCAATCCTATTCCAGTACGAACTACGAAGCTATGTCTACTGCAAGTCTGACGAATGCCCAGCAGGTCAGGGACTTTGTCGAAACGAAACACGACAAGCCATATGATGCCATTGACCCGAGGAAGGTAGAACTGTCACAGGGCTTTGTCGTGTGCATCATTGGCGCTGGAGGAGCTGCAGGTTCTGGGCTGGCAAGGTCTTTTGCTCAAGCCAGTGTTGCGGGCATGATCATTGCTGCTCGATCGCAAAAGACGTTGGAGGCAACAACCACGGAGGTTGGTGATATCAATGCATCGATCAAGGTTGCTTCTGTGGTGTGCGACATCACTTCCAACGAGAGCGTGGCCAACATAGCTTCGACAGTGAAGAGCCAGTTCAACGGGAGATTGGATGCCGTGTTCGTCAACTGCGGGTTCTCGGGTCCCCTTTCAAAGGCTACAGTTCTTGAAGAAGACTTTGAGGATGTACAAAAGGCCTTCGCCACACACTGTCAGGGTACATGGCTTGCCGCACATCACCTTTTACCCTTCCTTCTTGAGAGTACAGGCAGTTTTATCGTCATCAGTTCCATCTCAGCTCAAAGTCTGATCGGATTCGGCACAACATCTCACTATTGTACCAGCAAGCTTGCTCAAGCTCGTATGATCGAGATGCTGCATGCCCAGTACGCCGACAAGGGCATTTTTGTGGCCAGTGTGCACCCAGGTGGGATGCAGAGTGAGTTCTCGAGGACAGCATCGAATGATATTCAGCACCGTGAGTTTGTTCCCAGAATTTGAGTCAAGTCCAAAGCTTATGATTGTCAGTCTTGACCGATAGCCCAGATCTCGTTGGGGCGTTTTCTGTGTGGTTGCTAAAAGCTGAAGGGATGGGAAGGCGACGCGGTGCATTGAACGGACGATGGCTTTCTTGCAAATGGGATGTTGCTGAGTTGGAGGCGAAGTTCGATAGCATTCAGCAGCAGGATCTTCTGAAGTTCCGGATGGTTGTTTAGTTATCCCATATAGAGTGTTTAGTATCGTCTGACCGTTACGTCTCGGGCATGACTGGCAACGATATAACTTTTCGATGACAACCTAGCGGACTAAGGGAATGACTACTGCATTCTCTGCAGGCGAGCTCTTGCCATCAGTACTATACTTATTGGCATCAAGGCTACAGCTAGCTTTACAGTACTCTCGCATATCCAGGTCTATTTGGTTCATAATTGTCTTGCGAGTCAGGGCTGGTGGATTGCAGGAAAGCCTATGGAGCGCACTCCATTTTTCATGTTCTTATAAACTATGGACATAATGATTCTACAGCGAAATCTATCTACATGATCAAGGTATTTGATTCTCTGCATTCGATGCCTCCTCCTGGGGCCCCTCATGACCCGAGCCGCAATCACAAAACTTTTCAAATGATCGAAGTAACTCGGTGGCACCCTCCGGGATGCTGTAGTCACGACCAGAAAGCACATACATCAGTCGGGATGCTTTGCTGAGGACATGCCCACGGTGCATCTCCTCAAGTATCCCCGCCGCCATTGCCAAAATATGCATTGAGTCTTCGTTGTCCGTTTCAGCTTCAGTCAGGATATGCCCGACCACGAAAGTCAGCTCCCATTCCGGCAAAGCGAAGTCTGATCCGTCGACTTTGCGAAGAGTGGAATCGCACGCCATCCAAACACATCTCAACCACTCCCAGCTTATTTCATGTAAGCTTAGGTAGGGGAATGCAAGCTCATTTACCTCAGCGCTCAGAGCATTGCCGAGTGACGCTAATATGTCAGCTGGCTTAACGCGTGTTTTGTCGTCTGATGTCAATGAGGTATCCTTTTCTTTGCCTTTACCTCCATCTCCACCCCTGTCTTTGCCTTTGCCTTTTGATTCCCCCCTTGAGAGGACTTCGCTAATAGTCTCCATGGTCCAGCTCATTCGTTTGGTGTTTCGATGGTATCGGTCTTGAAGGCTTTTATGGATCAGTGCACGGGTTGTCAGAAATCGCGGATTTGCTCGTGAGAAATCCTCGAGAGCCATCTTCTTGCCCTTGTGCTTATTCTTGCTCAAGGTAGATGCAGAGATGCCAACCTGCAGCATAAACCGATTGACATAGTCAGAACGCGTATGTGGCTTTCCTCCAACGAAGAAAGCTTCGCCGCCGAAAATCTCGAATAGGGTGTCCATATCTAGCCACCAAGTTTTGGTGAGACCTTCCTCCCTGAGTCTGAATATATTCCGGCGGAACCCCTCCACGGAACTTGGGCGAGGGTCTCGATCGAAAGGCGTGCGTGGTAGCAGCAGTGCGACATGACGGCATATACCTTCTCATTGACGGATCCTTTTGCGATCTGCTCCCGGAATTTGTTCATGTCTACCTCCTGATCGATCAGGAAGCCACACATGAGGTCTTCAGCCATAGCCTTAATCCCACCATGCTTTTCTAACAAGGGCTTTACGTCCTCTGCAAGGGTCGAACCAAACTCGATGGCTGTATTGGTAACAACCGCCATCACGCCTGGGTCAATGCTATCTCCACCTTCCTCTGCTTCAATATGCATTTCCCAAATATAGGTGATAAATGTTCTAATGTCGTTTAAGTCCTCGCACAGCAGTTTATATGCAAAAAAAGCCTCATCAACTGAGTCCCCTGCATCGGCCTCGTAAATAACGTCGTTATTATTCGCTGGTCCAGGTCTTTCAATGTCTTTTGCGTTAAGAAACTTCTCTGATGGGTGGTAGACTTCCAATTCCTTGAACTTGTTTGTCAAGGTCTCAGCCTCTTTTGAGGAACCAGAACCAACTGGATCTGAATATGGCTTGAGGACTTCGCGGGCCTTCTCAAGAATTCCCACAAAGTAGGAATGTCTAGCATCCGACTTGTCGTTTTGCTTCTAGTCGGAGGCGGCAAATTCACTGCTGAAACCAGTTCTCGCTTCAATGACCCGGTTGAGTGTAGAGAAGAACGTTCGCGGGACAGACAGAGCCGGCTTCTTATAAGCCGAGATGCATTCGGCCAGGGGGACGAAGTCCTTGATCTCAATGATGTATCGAGGTCCTTCATTTTGTGGCGTGCTTTCCTGAGGGGTACCTTTCACCTTCTTCTTAGCTTCCGCTCTCCCTTTGCCGTTCAGTCGAGGGGCTGGTTGCTTTGGAGCAGGTGGATTCGACAGCAGGTCGGCAGGATATCTCTTTCGCGGTTGAAGCAAGCCATGATACAATTGAATTGGTATCCTTCTTGTACTCGTGGTACACGCTGATCAAAGCTGGTGGCAACATCTTGGTCAATTGACAACGTGGATAGGCTCTGTTACACGCGACAATTGAGATTGAGGGGTTGCGCGTCGCAAGGTGCCCAGGAATCGCTTAGCTGCATATGCATTTAAGCATTTCCTGTCCCTACCTACCAAGCGAAGATATCTGATAAGATTCGCAGCATCCTTGAGGGGGTCGAAAGAGGCTTTAGCCTCCAGGCCATCAAGGTAAAAAGAAAATAAAATAAAAAAACACATACAGGCAAAATACTCATCGCCCTTACTGTTGCCTAGGATCTTGCTTTTAGCTGAAGGCTAGACATCCTAATGACTGACTCTAAAGGTGTATACATAAGTGCTCCTCTTCCGTGAAGATGATCCAGCTCAAAGCACACGAAACACGTTCCCTGCCATACAAGACAGACCAGGGTGTACAAAAGCGTCAGACGATGCCCGTTAACCATCGCGAAACTCCAACTCATCACCACGTAAGTCAAGCCATTGCCGAGACACCCTTCTTTTCGTCTCAATCGGAAGCAAGAATGATGAGCCTCAGACAATTTACATCCTCACAAGGCCCAAAAGCCCCATCTTCACCCTGAAGATCAGAAGCTCTGTCTCATTGACAAAGTTACATCAAGTTGTGACAAGAACTAGAACTTACATTTGCCGCCACCTCTATGAATTGGTGCGACGACAGATGTCTACTGACATGGATGTGGTCGGAGAGCCAATCCTGGCTTCCAAATGTAATTAGACCCTCTTCCTTTCATCACGCTTTACTCTCATGATTTGTTTCACAATGTTCCGAGCCATCCGGTAATTTTGGTACTGCAGGAATGGCAAACTATACCAGAAGATACTATGCCCCGTGGAGCTATGGATATGTGTCAATCAAATTGACTCCATTTCGAACAATCTGGTGATGCTCAAGACTTATACCATCTTGAAAACTAAAGTCTATAATATTCTAATAATAGCAGGCAACAGAACCAGGCCGATTGACCATCGACTTCAAACGGCAGATATCACATGAAATGGTTCCAATGAACCATTTAGACCCCAAACCGAAAACTATTGTTTGTTCTTATAGACCGATAGCGCTGGCATTTATTGCTGTCTCGTTCTCGCATATCGTTGACTTACAGCCCAGAATAATGCCCACAGCGGGGATCTGAGAGTTCTTATGACTGCACACGATAGAGTCCTATTTGGGATGAATCAAATTACCGCGCTCTGCTAAAAAGCAAAAACATTTCGCCCATCTCGAGAGAGATTGTTCTCATGAACGGGTAGGAAATAAATAGGACTCAAAACGACAAAGAGGAATCTTAATCGTCCTGATCCATTCAAACTCTATAACTGACCCTATGTATTGTCTCTAAGTCAAACAGAGTATGTGCTTGGCTGTCGCGTATAGGTTATTTATTGTGCCTGGGGCTAGCTTAGTGCTGCTGTCAGCCTTGCACCACTCATGGTGACGATCTTTCTACTTCGAGTTTAGAGCTTCAGAGAGGGGTAGGGGTCTTTTATACTTTTTTCACTCATGCTGAACTGCCCATAAGCGGAACTTATCCAACCTATTGCACAATGCTAGGACTGATGTTGAAGACAACAAGTTTGAGTCCTACGGCTTGCAACTCGTCCCATAATAAATAAACAGGCAGTAGATTGCCATTCGGAGATACTTGGACCTGTTTTTCTCTCAATATTCATATACGACTACACCTCACCAGATCGATCGTAGCTCCCGCAATTCTACACCTGTTCTTCCAACATGGAACAGTCTCTATGCGATACTTGCGCCAGGATAAATATCGAAGAGCTTGTCTCTAAGCAGGGCTTTGCGCTACATAAGAACCTACTCGACCTCTACAAGTCTGTGAGGACATGCCAGTTGTGTCGTCATGCACTGGGTAGCTTGAAGCCTCTTTTACCACTCAACCTGAGAAGCATACCTTGTCGTCATGCAATGAGGCATCTGAGCTCGGAAAGCTCAAAATCCTCTCTTTCCGAATCGAACCAGAAGCTTCTCGCTACTCAGCAGGCTCGAGCCTTTTATGGACAACATAACCACCCGAAACATGGCTTGACCATCGTGGTTTCGGACTTCGACTCGGAATCTCCTAGCGAGCGCGAACGAAGCATTTCCTGGCTTACAATGAGGACACTTCCTGGAGATCCTGCTCAGCGATCAGGCGCCGAGACCGCTCGACTACTACCAGAAAGCACCTCTAGCTTGACTTCAACTGTTCATGCTTTGGAGTGGCTCAAGGAATGCCTTTTGAGCAAAGATTGCTTTGAAGATTGTAAACACCTTATTGACAATGATCTCCAAGAATGTCTCGCGAAGATGCATGGCAATAGCAAAGAATTGGAATCACTTTTTCTGTCAGAAGGACTCGATGTGTTGCTGCAGAAAAAAGAGGCACGACGGTTGCAATTATGCGAGGACATCCAGTTCTTACACCAGCAAAGGAGCCTCTCGCGAGGCGACGCACTTGTTGTAGAAGAGCGCGCCGCGAGACTTGTTGAGATCATCGATGCAGACCGAGGTACCAAGCTCAAGATATCCCCGGGCTCAATTGGATATTCGTCGTATGCCGCCTTGAGCTACAGATGGGGCGGCCTGGATGCCATCTGGCAAACTACCACCAAGAACCTCGGCATGCGCCTGACAGAGTTCAATATTTCTGAGCTTCCCAAGACGCTGTCAGATACTGTTCAAGTTGTCAGAAATCTTGGCCTGAAATGGGTTTGGATCGACAGTCTCTGCATTGTTCAAGATGACAAGGAAGATTGGGCAAGGGAAGCCATCAAGATGGCTTCCATTTACCAGAACGCCGTCGTCACTATCTCTGCTGACTCCAGCCAAGACGCCAAGGCAGGGTTACACAATGAGAGGTCTTCTTCCATTCTCAATGACAAGGACAGCATGAAGATCTGCAGCAAACTCTCAACCGACGAAGAAAGCTCGATCTTTCTGTTCCCAGATCAGGAGACAAGAATCGATCGCTCGGCTACCAATCTGCGAGATATGGGTGATCTTCTAAGCCACTGCGCGCTCCGTGACAGAGGATGGACCATGCAAGAGCGAATTCTGTCACCGCGCATCATTCACTACGCCGAAGACCAACTCTATTGGGAGTGTTTACACGGGATTCACGAAAGCGAGGACGAGCTTTATTCAATAGGTCGTAATGTGAACATCGCAAAGATAGCGCATCGGATTAAATCTGCGGAGAACGAGGAAGCAAAGAAGAAGGAACTCAAACAGATGCTGCGCTACTGGTATGTCCACCTTATTGGAGGAGACTACTCGCATCGATCTTTGACATTCATCGATGACAAACTCCTTGCCATTAGTGGAATGGCCAAAGCCCTTGACAGAATTCACCCGTCTGGCTACATGGCCGGCCATTGGTGCGAAGACGATGATGAGCTCGTGAAAAGTCTCTGCTGGAAGCGCGGTGGGCCAGGCAAGAAGGCGGCCAACTATCGCGCGCCATCTTGGTCATGGGCCAGTCAAGATTCAGCGATTGATTATGGTAATTTCAACATAGTAGGGACTCTAGGTGACAAGATCGTCGCAGAGCCTGTGGCTATGGAAGGTCAAAGCCCAGATGGCACTCCATTTGGTCGATACGATAACGGGTATCTTCAGATCAAAGCCAGGGTCGGACACGGGAAATTATTCCCAAACTGCGGGCATGATTTCAGCAACTATCAACAGACTGGCGCTTTCGGTGGTCACACTGTCGATCCTCTGAAGGAGAGATGCGCGTTTCTGCTGCTCGATGGTGGAGAAACATCTGATCTAGTCTGGCTAGACGAAAGCCAGGCAACTAAAGAGTCTATCACAGAGTCTATAGACGTTCAGGTCGTCATGCTTTCGGAGGTGGAATCTGAAGGAGAAGGGCCACGTCCTGGAGCTTGCTTGATCTGTACTTTGGACGAGAAGTACTACTTGACGAGGATTGGATTCACAGAGTCTCTGAAGTATTACAAAGAGGGACAGGATAAAGAGTCTCCTCCGGTTTCTGGCCCGCGTCTTTGTGACAAGAAAGCCATTACTTTGACCTTAATCTAGTAGCGTAGGCATCCTGCAGCTTGCAGTCGCAGTGGCGGTGATTCGGCCGAGCTTCGGTCTTCTAATCTTGGCGCTCCGCAGGTGGACTTCCTCACGAAGCAAGAAAGCCTTTGACATTAAATCAGGACGCCACTATAAACCTTTCTAAGACCCTAGTGAGATATACTAAATTCACATAAGTCTTTCCATCACTTATATAAAATGCCTTCAATTTTTTGTTTTATTTTTTGCCTTCCTTTGGCCGTCCCTTCGTTGCCAGTCCGAACATTGTTCGTCCGCTCTAGGAGTCTTTCGGTCGAGACAGGGATTTTGCCAGGATCACCGGCTATTCACAAGTCCTAAGTCCGGCGGCGCCCTGTAGAGTATTTATGTATGGTCATTCGTTAAGGATTTCCATACAATTGGCTTGGCATAAGTACATTGCAAGAACATAGCAGTTGACTACATATACGTCCCTCAAATGCCCTCCTCACCGCACGCGGACTCTTTACTCTTCTAACCCTCATCACTTCCACCGCCATGTCTTCTACAGACGAGCCTATGCCCGTGCTGGATATAGCGACTCTGATTGCGACCGCAACAGCGTACACCGATGTTTTTAGAACACTAGACACGGAAGCCCTGTCACGCATCCTCAGCGACGAGTATAGCCACAGATTTGCGCCAGCGTCGGCCAACCTTCCTGGGTCTATGGATCGCTATGGCTTGATCGCTCGACTGAATCAGGTCGGAGAGGTCATGTCTTCGTTCACTGTCATCATCAAGCAGATGTGGCCCAATCCTTCCCTACGACAGGTCCTCGTATGGGCAGCCTCTGAGACCAATTTTCATAGACAATTGAGGGACAGCGATGATGAAGAAGAATGGACGAAGAGGGGAGAGTACATGTTTCTGATGACCATGAATGAGAGCGGGGAAAAGATTGTCGATGTACTCGAGTTTGTGGACAGTAAAGCTACAGAAGAGATTGTTGATATGGTGGGCAGAGCGCTGAAGAAGTCATCGCCTGGTACTTGAAGGAGGTGGCTGAGAGCTTAAATCGGCCGAGAGAACTTAGAAGGAGACAATGCCCCATGAAGCTTTGTGCAGCATAGAGTGTATCAAAGATTCAAAATACTGGGTATATGTATTCGGCTAGCAATGCTACGTGACTGTGAAATCCAAATCTATGTGAAAAGACAGTTGTCTTGAGTCCAATCATACGCTTTCCTCCTGCGTCAAGGCCAACTCGTCCTTGGCTTTCAGCTTTTGCCGCTCACCGCGTCCCATCTGATATAGTCGAGAGGCTCCGTAGAGCTGGGTTGTGATCCACAATGAGAACACCAGGGGTGTAATGATGCGCCACTCGAGACCCCAGCGATGCCACGACCGGTTGAGGAGATATATCGTAACGGCGACCTCGGTTATAGCCCCTGTAACTTGCCAGACACAGCACGTGTAGGCCATGCGGGACAGCAATAGAGTGTTGTGGCGCTTGATCCGCCACACGATCATCATGAGGAAGATAGGGAGCTCGACGATTACATCGAATGTGCCTAGATAAAAGCATTGTCAGCATATTTCGACTCGCGAGACTACAGAACCTTGATTGACTAACCCCAGACCATGCACATGTAGAACTCCAGTGTAGCTTCGCGATGCTTGTCGTGATCGGCAAAAAGACTCAACGCTGTCTGTGTGATGACAAGTAGTCCAGTATGGTGCGCAATGCTGAGAGGGCTAGCGAACTTGGTGCGAAAGCATATTTCGAAGATGTAATATGAACTGTAGACTTCGGAAAGAACAAGCAGACTGTCTCCGATCGTGACAGAGCTGCCTTTGGTAAATGGTGTAGAGAATTTGGCGTCGCCGATGAGGAAGTACATCATAGGATAGCATCCACTGCAGAGAACGCAAAAAAGAATGATGCAGCCGACGTGGAAGTAGACAAAAGACCGCCGTCGCCTTTCGTCCTTTGTTCGTTCGAATGTTTGGCAGATGTCTTTGTAAACAGCTGGTAGGATCCATCGCTCGAGGCAGTTGGTAAGGAGAACAATGCAGATGATGCTGGTAGCAAGTATTAAGGAGCCGTATGGTAAAAGGTGTGAAAGAGGGTTGTTTTCGATGGTTTGGATCTTGGGGACGAATACCCGATGGGCATGATGAGCTGAATCAGACATTATAGCGAGTGGAGAATACAAACGAAAGCAATTAATTAAGCAAAAAGTGTACAAGAGAAATGAATTGTCAAACTGCGGAGAAGAGGCCATGATTCTGTATTTATCCTCGCATCATTCATTTGTGCCTCACTGACGCAAAGTCGCCTACTAAAAAGGAAAGCTGCGTTGCCCACGCGGCTCAAGCCGACCAACGGAGTAAGGAGCAAACAAGCCCAATACGAGCAAGCCAGCGCTTCTCAGGCGAGGCAAAGCAGTCAATACTCAACACCCTGGGATTGGTTCTATCGTAGACGCCTCCATACGAAAAATGCCGAAATCCTTCTAGTCGCGGGCCTAGAAGCGCGTCTGGTCTCGTCAGTGGCCAACTCGTAAGATTCGGTCCGGGGTAGCTGAGGCGGAGCAGCACAGATTGCTCCACTTGGGCAAGCCGTGTTGCCGTGGGCAGATTACGCGGCTGCGGTTCCTCGGCAAGATGCGAGAATTAATTTGGTGCCTTGTTGCTTATACGTAAATAATAATGAATGGCGAGAAGGGGGGGTCTGTGCTTGAATACTAGACATCTCGTGAGAAAAGGGTCTTGTTCGGGATTGACAAGCCGATCAGGGGTTCGTGTTAGGCCAGGGCGTTTTTGAGTTTGTATCAGAAGGGATTTACACATGCGTTTGGGGATAACACGGCAGCATGTAAATGAGAGATGTTATATTTGGGAACAGAATCTGACATGAGCAGCACTCACACTCTGACTCTCGTATGCTGACATTCACGACTTTCTCTCTCCCCTCGGGCACTTCAGAATCGGGAATGGGTTCAAGTGCCATGCTTATAGACTCAGCCATCTGTAAGTACGCTTCGACCAATCTTTGGGCTTCTATAAGTTTAGTACAAACGGCTAAGGTGGCCTACAAGTCTTGGCTCTGAGCTTCTCTAAAAGCCAAGTCCAACATAATTGGGTCATCTGGGCTACCCCTAGAGCCTTAGATGATTGCATGCATGTTGAACCCTGCATGTGCTTTGAGCAGATGACGTGGCTTGATTTTCGCGAGAAACACAGTGAAAGGGGTCTAGCTTCAGAACTCTTTGGTTGTGCCGTAGCCCGTTGACGAAATGGCGTACTTTGGGTTGAAGGTGCCAGCCCTTACTTGTCTGGGAACGGACTCTACGACGAGGGAGTAAGACGGCCCCACTTTCGGCGCTGAGCTTCCGATGCAACGGCCCAGTTGCGGCATCACGGCATTGTTATAACCGGAATCTTCCTCCAGAATGTGTTTTCAGTAGGATCTGCCTCGCATGAATGAATCTTCTTTAGGTTTCCCTAGTGTCTACTTCGTACTTATAATCGATTAAGGGGGGAAATAAAACCGAAGGCCATTTTTCAAACGACAAAAAGACGTGAACAAATTTGGTGTAACTCAAGCTTCTAAGCTAGTCAGTTATTTTTGACACGCTTACAAGATGTCTAGCGCCCTGGAGCCGATATCCGTTAACTTGAACCTTGATCTCGTATCCCGGTATTAAACAGCTGCGAGGCAGTCAGAAGATGTAGTGGTGAGAATACATATACAATTCTCTTATGGCCCAGCATGGATTTCTCTGGCTGAAAGTCCCACGATTTTGTGATGCTTCAGTTGTTGATGAAAATCACCAACAGAATGATTAGGTGGCAGAGTTTGGTGCCTGAGGTTATAGAACTAGCGCGATGGATATCTCGAACTACAGATGAAGCGAATCTTGCTTCCATCATCTGGACGGACTCTCGAATTGATAAAGAGTCACCTCGAATATAGCTGAATTACTTTCCTATATATGCAATTGCTCCCAAACAAGTCATTCTGCGATGAACGACTCCCCGAAACAAACTCCGAATATCCCGAGATACCCGAACGCGCCGAGAACGGAGGCTGCAGCAACTCAGCCGCCAGATTTGAAGAGCATACTGCGCGTGCGGCAACTTGCGCGTGTCAGGAAAGCATGTCTGCCTTGTCGAGAGAGAAAAGTGCGCTGTAATCATCAGCAGCCCTGCCAAACATGCATCAAGCGCGGCCACTCCGACCTCTGCTTCTACGACCAACCTCGGGCGTCATCAAGTCCAACTCCGCAACCTCACCAACCAGAACTACAGGCTGTCACGGACTCGAGCCATGGTCCCAACAATGCAACGCAACCTAGGCGCCCGGTCAGTCGCGATGGCAGTGTATCCAACGCAAGTCCGTCCTTGCTAGGCGACAACTCCATTATCTCGGTTGCACGGCCAGATACTACCCAAACTCATGCCAGCAATGAGCGTCGCACCGCATTTGAAACCGGAATTCTTCCTCTTCTTGGTATGGATGGCGCTTCCAATGGTGGACGTGGCACCCCTGCAGGTCGCTCAGAAACAACCTTTGCTGTTGACCAAGACATGATTTCTCTGTTTGGCTTCTATCGGGATCGAGTTCACTCTTTTCAGTTCGTCATTGATGATCTCACTGAGATCGAGAAGCTCATATGTTCTATCTTGAGTCACGAAGTTCAAGCACAGCAGATCGACAACCATAGCCTTTGTCTTCTTCATGCTATAATGGCGGCTGGGGCGCAGTTCTCGGATTTACCCACTGCTATACGACTATCCAAGTCCAGCCAAAACTGTAAGCAGCAGTTCTCCTCACTCGGTCGCTTACAGGCAACTTACCACCTTAGTGCAATCCGCTCTCAAGTATCTGGGCTCCTTTGATCTTTTGTGGAATCCTTCCAAGAGACTGATCCAAGCATTGCTCATCCTTGGTCATGTTTTGCAAAATAACATGAATCCTCGTGCAGCTTGGATCCTAGGTGGCACTACGGTTCGAGTTGCGCTATCTATTGGCCTCCATCAACCTATTAATCACTGTGCCCTACGTCTCTCGCCTGCAGAAGCGCAACAGTTAAGGTGAGTCTCTCAGCAGAATACCGTTTGTCTTGGCAGTACTGACGTATCCCGGATTCATAGGCTCGCGATTGTTTGGCAAGACGCACTTCTCTCATTGGCATTTGATAGACCTCCAGCTTCTCATGAGATGGACCTAGAGCCAGACCTCCCAGCTCTCGTATCCTTGGATCCATCTAGCCAGCCTCTTGACTACCGACAGGCTATGAACTGGCTATGTCATCTGAGCTTCAGACACCTTCCAAGACTTCCCCAGACAGAACCAGTCTGGAACTATAGCCGGCTCTTTCATGACTTTGACTTTTACGAGTCTTCTCTAGCTCCCCATCTGCAGGATTTGCAGCGATCTACCTCGATCCAGGAGCTACAAGAGCATTATAGCCTGATCGTCCACCGCTACTTTCTCCTCTCCACCCTCTGCCGCCCTGTACTGTCCTCGCAGAACAAAGGAAAATTTAGTGAAGAAGAATGTTCAACGATCTTGAACCGCTTTCAAGGTGCTTTGAAACGAAGTGTCCGTGCTTTCATCAAGCTACGCTCTATCTCGAATCTTGCAACTCGTTCATGGGCCTTCGTTCACAACGGTCTTGCCTCGGCACTCTTGTTGAGCTTTATCCGACAAGGCTCTGACGCTCAAGATCAAGACTCCCAAGAGATACTAGCTGAGCTAGTAAAAACGTTAACAGAGCGCAGCGACGATGTTGGACAGTTCTCTGCAGCGCACAAGAAAGCTCTTAGGGCGATTAAAGCTCTACAACGATCGTCAGCGGATGAAATCAGATGCCAAAGTGAGAATTCATCACAAGAGCATCACCCAATAGCAGTTTCTTTGGAAAGCATGCCTGTTCTACCAGAGCATTTTGGCAACACTCAGGAACAAAGGTTTGTGTTACAGCGCTCCCCACTGTTCAAAAGTACTGATATTCCTCCTTGCAGCATGGTTAGCTTGGATGATTGGCTTCGAGATTTTGACTTTGATGCGTTTTCTCCCCTTGAATCATACAATTTCATCATGTCGGACCAGGTGCCACAAGATTTTGGTCTCTAGGCCCCTACCTGTACAACAAAGTCCGATGCCCTAGAGGATGTACTAAGCTTATCGCAAATGTTCTAATAAAACACTATTTTGTAATGGCATCTATAAATATTCTGGTAATCTCTTTGCTAGGATGGCCCCAAATTACTTCGCGCTGTTGAAGCCCAAGGCTTGCCATCGGTTGCAAACCCTGTCTTTGATCTCCTCCGGAAACGAGTTTTCAAAGTCCGCTGCTTCCCAGTTCTTCCCGGTGGCATATTCGACTGGCAACAAGCAGTCGGAGACAACCTTGCCACCACGATTAGGCGCTCCGTTACCATGCGACATGTATGGAATGAGTGGAAAGCCGGCAACGTCTTCAAAGACGTACTCGTCCATTCCGGGGCGGCAGCGAGTACAGAAAGCCCAGATCACATCCTTGAAATCATACACGTTGATGTCATCACCGACGATCACCAAGCGATGGATCGTATAGCCGACCTTGTGATTGAAGATGATGTCTCCGATTTCACGGCAGAACTTCTCGGGCGTGGTCTTCATCTCCCGTAGCTTCTGAGTGTCGACCTGTAATGCAACCCATGTAACTTGAGACTCGAAAGGTGAGAAAGCTTCCTTGATAGGGAAACCTTTCGACTTCAGAAGAAAGCCGATCTCTGCGGCAGCAAGAGGACCTATCATTGTATGCTACTGAAGTCAGTCACAGTCTTGGAGTAAAACAAGCTAATGCTTACAGTCTCATCAGTCAACCTTCCGCAATTGGAGACGGGCAGAATTGCATCTTTACGGTGCGTGATGAGATCTACCGTATACTTTGGCCAAGGGTGAGTATCGCCGGGGAACACGTATCTAGGGTGACTGTCAGCACTGGAAGAAAATAGACAGCGTTGTAGACATACCCATGCATCTCTCCAAAAGGCCCCTCAGGTACAGTATCTGTGATAGAGCATGTTCCTTCAAAGACTATTTCCGAGTTGGCGGGTACATAGAGTCCATTGGTCTCGCACTTAACGACGTCAAGGGATGATCCGACGAGTGAACCAATGTACTCAGCTTCAGACAATC